CTTATGGGAGGTTCAACTGTATTTACTTAGATCTATACTGTGCATACTGTAACTGACTAAAAACATGTTTTATTAGGACTTGTTAAAGTTTGCTTTTGGCTGAAGATTTCCAGACATTAGTTAAACTCTCGTGGAGATACCACATATTAGTAAAATGGTTATTATAGACCCATTGACCACTCTTACAGTTACTTGTTAGATATCTGCATCTGTTTATTAGGGTATAATTTACAGTACCTAAGGGAAATACATTTTTGGACCTTGGCTACTCTCTGCTGGAAACAGTGTATTCATTTAACTGTATTTATTGCCATAGTCAGATGCAAAATAAAATTTACCCTTCTGGTTGTTGAAAACATCACTCTCATTAGGCATGTTTATGTCCTGTTTCAGATCATGACCAGGCAGAAAGAGTCTCACTTACTGTATACTGCGCCCAAGAAAACAAAGTGGGCTCTCTCTCGTCACATAAATTTTTGTACTTGCTGGAGACAGAACAAATCATTGCACAACTTTTGGCAGACAGTGCATCAGATAGCAAGCTTTTTGAATGTCTCACATCTTTGTCAGAAATATCAAGTAGTTTATCCAAGGAACTTAAAGACACATTAGATTCCAGAATAACAAATGCATTTGAGTTTCTGGATTTGTCTCCTACTTGGTCATTATTTGGTGAAAAAGGGATGGAGAATTATCAGAATGTAAATGGTGAGTATGATATAGTTGTAGCTCTTTTTCTGCTGTACATTTTGGCAATGTATCATGGATAAACTGCTCTATGGATATCAGAAGTAATAGGAAAAATAGAAATTAAGCCAGTTCTCTGGTAATGCAGTGTACATTCTACATTCAGATTTTAATTGTGAGCTGACCAGGCGGTAGTATAATGTCAGGGGTTTCATTAAGGGCCGGGCACTGGGCAAATTGCCTGTCTGTGAGGACAATTTTGCCAGGTTGGTTTTTGACCATCTAGAGGAAAGTTTTTCTTACAAAGGAGTTCAGTTCTATTAGTTTTGCCCACCTGTGAAAACCGGTTACCCTCCTGCTGAAAACATTAATGAAACCCTTGTCATATGCTGGACCCCAGATCAAGCAGTCCTTGCCATGGTCATTATGCTGTATTCTTTATAGACAAGAAAATTTACTCTCACAGGGCATTAAGGCATAAATGGTAATGGTACTTGCAAATAAAATGCTGGGGATAAACCTACAATGGACAAGCAGCTCATTTGGACGGGGGGGGGNGTTGCGGGTGGGTTAAAAAATACTCTTAATTGCTTCATGCTATGGAAACCAGCCTGACGGGCCACTACAGCAAAGGGTCAAGCATGCTGCCCCATTCCAATACTTGCCACTATTCTAATAAATCACCCCTTTCTGATAAATGCCTATTTTCCTGTATCAGTGTCCAGTGTGCCAAGTTAAATTCAGTTAATAGTTAATGGTTTTTTCAGAAAAAAACTATTGAATTCAGTTTGTGTTGAGAATGATTTATCTAAATATTGTTAGTTTAAAGTTTATTAAATCCATCAGTCTTAAGAGCCTTTGTTACTTTGTGGTTTGTAATTTGAGCACTTTAGAGATTTCAAGGCAGGCTTTAGCCAGATGAGTGTCGAGGCGTCCTGTGGACGGCCACTTTTTAAAGAAAACGGTTTTATTTTCCATACATTGCCTTGTAAATTGTTCATTTGAGCAGGCCCTATAGCACATTTTGGACGTCCACTTTTCAAATCCTAGCTAAAAGCCTGTTTCAAGGGAAGGTGATAATCAACCCCCCTGAACAAGTATTCTGTATCCAAGAATTTGATAAGCACCTTGGATGATAACTTACGGTAAATGTGCACAGTAATTATCTGTGCAGATTCTTCTTATTTACGGCAGAACTTAAGTTTAACTATGAATCATCCTCTTAGGCAGTGTTGTGCTTGAAAATCTATCAGTTTCCTCATAACAAACTAACTTACTTGAGGTAGTTATACATGAATCACGTCTGACAAAGTCTCAAGTTGATTTATTCTCAACACCTGCATCCTCTCTTTCTACTAGGCCAGGAAACGTTACTTCATCTTTCGGCCAGATTGGGATTCACTCAACTAGCAACTTACCTTCTGGATCAGCCAGGATCACGTGAGGCTCTTCACACGCAAGACAAGTCAGGAAAAGTACCTGAGGATATCGCACGGGAAAGAGGAATGAAGCTGCTTGCAGACATGCTTTCAAGGTATTGATGGCCTTCTTGTTCTTAACTTTGCCTTTTATCAAAATGAAGAGTGTGATAATAAGTGAATGACACTGCAGTTGTTAGGATTTGATGTGTACTAACCACTGGTTGTTACTTTTCTTAGGGGTCCTGGTGATTGTGAAAAGAGAACACCCAAAGACACAACGAAACCGCAAGTAAAGAAAAGTGAGTTGGGTACCACCACGATATCAAGTTACACATCTCAAGAACAGAACTCACTTGGTAAGCAATTAAAACTTCAGCCACTGACAATCTATTTGAATGCTGACCAGATTAATTCCCATCTTGATGATGTTAAAAAACCCAGCATGCACATATTAAGCTTCACTCCAACATTTAAGGGGGGCAAAGGTAACATGGGGGTCTACCTGTTCTAGCAATTTGTGTCACTTATTGTAGATTCAGCTGTAAATGAACTTTGTGTAATCTTATGGTTTGAGATAGTTTTGAAATGTAGGCATGTATTAGTATTTATCTCTAAAGGGAAGCTGTATGGCAACTAGATTATATAATTTTGAACCAATTTTCTTTACAGAGAAGGACATTGAAATGCTGCAAGATATAAACTCGCTTGTTGAAGAAGAAGTAAGTGTGCCAGATATTTACTCAAAATTTCTTTTGATACTGAAATATTGGTACTGATATGATTGATACTGAAATATTGGTACTGATATGCACTTACCCTTAATAATATTTGATTAATGACTGTGGTTTTTTCTTCCTATCAGATGAGGAAGAGAATACCTAAGTTTCGTCACTCATGGCCGGTCAGAAGAAAAACTAAGGATACAGCAGGTCTGATAGTGTAACTTCACTTCATGCTCTTTAATGAAGCTGTGTGTGTGTTTTTGAGTAAGGAATATTACTGTTACCAGGGCTGTTACTAAGTTTTAATTCACCTGTTGCCTTCATCTTCACTCCCGTAACAAATTTGTTACTTTATGGGTGAGTTGTTTCAACTACAGCCAAGTTCACCCACAACAACAAGGGCCCATCAAGCATGCTCAGCCGTAACCGGTGCGACAGGTTATTACCCTTATTGACAGCCCTAGTAAAAGTGCCCCATAATGTCCAGATTACAACATGGTACTAAACACCTGGCATAATAGGGAGCTTTAGCAAACCACGATGGCAACGCCGACAAGAACGAAGCCAAACAAAAGGTTTAATGAACAGAACAATAGTTCTGCATGTGCGTTTGGAATCATTGGTACATTTCTCAACCATTTTCTTCAAAACAACAATGTGAAATGACTAAGTTCTACATATTTTGGAGAACATGAACTGCAATGGCAAATTTTTTGTATCTACTTCCTTTGGAATTGAATGCTGTCATTGCGTGTTTAGCCTGAGCAAGTTTTTAGATTGATAGGTGTGTTGAACAGATTTGCACAGTTACAACATTCAAAGGTGAGATATAAATACATTTTTTACAAGACGTTGTCCTAGGTGACGCTGTCGTTATTGCTACAGTAGTAGGAACTAGGTTGGTAGGGGTTGGCAGGAAACCTGTCAAGGACTAGCACGTGATCCAGAGGGAGTATTTGGTACATGTAGATATAGTCTTGGTCATGTCCAGCTGCAGAAACTGGGGGAGTGAACCAGTTCTGATATACTATATAGATAAGGTTATATATATAGATAGGGTTACTTGAAGGGTTAGTTTGTGCTCAAACTGGAAGATATTTAACCTCATTCCTTCAATGGGACAAAAACAGCAAACAAATTGCCCTTTCCTTGGGAAATCTGCTCCATGTACATCAGACACTCATTCTGAATAAAGGGAATGAAGACTTACTGAATTTGAAAATTGATCCAGTTTAAATGCTTACCCATACTGTTGTGTGTTGTTTTAAATTTTTAAAGAAATGTATGAAACTAAACCGGAATTTCCAAACTTAAAAGCCTTCCATGGGAGGGGTTTGGATATTTTCTGGATCAGCACATTTCTTGCACCACAGCTTTACCATTAAAACAGGTTCCCAACTTATGTGATTATTTTTTCACAGAAGACGCATCTAGCAGTGATGAAGAATTAAAGCAAATCAATAGGGAACTTTCATCAAAGAAGTTCACAAGCCAGCTGAATAGTGTGACTTCTGGAAGAAATACTGGGGGTGGAAACCGACATTTGTTAGGTACAATAATATTCTTAGTACTTGGTAAAAAAGCCAACATTTTCCATGGTTAGAACTGTACAGTTATTTAAAAAAACAAGTGGATGTTTGGGAGAACAATTTTTGCAACTGGAGTGCAATTGCAAATAAGTGCAGTTGGAACACAAGCGATGGAGACCTGGGAAGTGTTTCACTTTTAAAAAATTAATAATAAAAATAATAATGATGATGGTTTGTTAGCAAATCCAAATAAAAATTGGCTCTTCTATGCTAATATAAAAGGCTAAAAGCTAAAAATACAACTTGCTTGCAATGAAAGACACTAGAAGTAAAATTTAAATTTATACATTTTTAAATTAATAGCTGGTGAAAGTTTTCTGTGTGTCTAAGAGATAATTTTATAGTAACCTGGCTCTTAGCCAGTCAGATTGGGCACTTATCTGGGCTATTTTTTAAGGAAAGTTAACTAAATAAATGCAGGCATGCATTTGTATGAGTAATCCCAGACACTCTAGTTTTACTTCACACCATCTGCACCAGAAAATTTGTCCCTGCATGTGCTGTTATACGGATCTATACATTTTCAGAACACATTTTATTACTCCATCAGCGCATGATAGTTTTTTTAATTGTTCTTTAAAGCTTAAGTCAATTGTATTTTACTTACAGAGGCAAACCTCAAGAGATTGAGAGATATCAATGAGGAAATACAAAAACTTCGAATGGTTAATTCACAAAGAGGTCCCAGAGAGGTACTGTGTGATGTTGTGTTCTATTATGTTCCATTATGTTTTGTACCTTAATATAGTGCTTGGGTAGCATGGTTTAACATAATGTAAACATCATGTGACTTCATGTTGTGTTGTGTCATGTTAAGCATTGTTAGGACAGAATATTTAATATTTATTATCTGGTGGCAAAGTAAACATTGGTGAGTATTTATGGAGATAAATTTTCATGTCAATGAAGGTGAATATTAAAAGTTTCAAAATACAAGGAAACACAGATGGAATTGTTTGTTTACATACACTTATTTTTTCATAATGTTAATAAATAAGTACATTGATATTGAATTGGTTAACACATTGATTTAGGCAGTGAAATAAGCAAAAAAAAAAAAAAAAATATGTACAAAAAGAATTTCATCTGATACCTCAAAGTGGTACCATGATCAAATTTTTACCCCTTGACGTTTTAGGTGTATCACATAGAATTCTGTGAAAGTATAAAAATGCTGTTTACTGTTTGCAAATATCTGCATTAGTTCCAGCAAAAATGTGTAAAATATGCAAATGAGATGACTGATGACGTCATACAGTCAACCCAATATTATATCAAGTATATAAATAGAGCTTCCTAGGCCAATTTGCAGTGCAGACCATTGAAACTTAGTAGGCTAATAGTTCTACAGGAAACACACCCATGGTTATAAAAAAATTCTGTTCCCATGGGAACTCACTCTTTTCCAGTCCCCTACCCCTGTTCGAAATCACCTTATAATGCATTGCAAACCCTTGAGCTTTGAGTGGGTCATGTGTGCCTACAGATTGCAGTATCTTTTCTATTTGATTGTACCAACTGGCGACTAAAAATTTGTATTTGGCGACTATTTTTTACCACTTAGTCACCACATGGTGACTTAAGGATTTTTGTTAATTTTGAGCCCTGGTATTATGCAATTGCACAAGATTATATTAAGCTTGTATTAAGAAAAAATCACATAATGTGGTTTACAGTTTACTACTACATATATATGATTTGCTGTAATCATTAAAATAGCCTTTTCGTTTATTACTATATTTATCAGTATATAAAAAGAGTCTAAATGATTGTTCTGTGATGAATTATATAGAATGATTTGTTTTCTTTTGCACAAGGAAATTTAGAAAGCAAAACTAACTCATCTCCTTGGGATTAATCAAGAACAATGTGTAGCTTTTATTTATTTGTTGACACCATCACACTGCTATTTTGTAGGCTGGTAGAGGTGGATTGCAAGGAAAGCATTTGCGTCGCTTGTCCTGTCCATCATTAAGTGCACAGGACCTTCAACAAGCTCATGTTATCGCAGGTAATTAGAATTTAAATTTTGTAACATGAGTAGAGGTTTTTTTTTGAGGTTCTGTGAAGAGTACAGGTTTTGGCAGAAGGTTTTTCATCTTTACTATTTTTTCTACTAATGATAACCATGATAAAATGTTTTTTTTTGTGTAACATGATGTGTTTTTGCATTTCTGGATATAAGTTCTGATGGTGGCACATTTTTAATGGTCCTAGGAATAAAAGCAAAAGATGAGAAACCGGTCATGAATGGCACTTTAGAGCAAAAAGATAAAAAACCTGGTGGTCTACTGACTGATAAATTAAGAACTTCCCAAACAAGGGAGACTATTGCAGAGAAAGCGAAGGATATAACTCAGAGTCAAGAAGATTCATCCGATAATACAAAAAATAAGCTCCTTTCTGTTGACAATAAAAGTGATGTGCGGCGGACACACAGCTGGGGAAAACAGGAGGAAAAGCCAGAATTGACCAAGAGAAGCTCAAGCCTTGATGACTTAACAAAGGGCATTGACAATGAAGAAAAAGTTAAAAACAGCAAACCACTTAGCAGGATACAAGCTCTCAAAAGCAAAAGACCTGTTTCATTAAATCTCGACACTCCCAAAGAGGAGGGAAATAAACTTGCAGATATTTTAGATTCTATAAAGAAAGCCAGCGATGGAAAACAAAACATGGCCAAGTCATCGAGCAATACGTCAATAACATCATTGAATGATGTCGATTTAAATGTGAACCATAAAGAAGGTGGGCTTTTAAATCCCAACAAAAGTAATCTCCAGACGAAGTCATATTCATACAGCTGCCTTGCTGATCTCAAACTAGGCGAAGATGGTAAGTCCTTAATTTATAATTCTAATGGGGAAGCATGTTGGTGACTTGGGGAGCAGTGGGAGGGGTCGCTTTGGTTAGAATGCTGACATCTTACCACTGTGGCTCAAATTCAATTTTTTTACCTTGCATCATAAGTGGGTGGAGTTTGTTGTTGTTGTTGGTTGTCCTCCTTGCTCTGAGGATGATTTTTTGCTGGGTTTCTTTCTTCCACAAGAACCAGCACTCCAAATTCTAATTCAGTCTAGACTGCTGTCAGACTGTTTTTCTCTCGAAATTCAGCAGGGGTTATGAGGCGAAACGTTTTTTGGCCATGTTGCCCTATTGCATTTGTGATGTCTAAACACTCATCTAGGTGACCCTTAGAAAAAAAACTGGCTGCCAGCAGTCTAAATTCAGTCTTGATCCCAAACACCACATCACAAGCACATGGCTGGACTCTGAATGATTAACAGTTCTGGCCTGGGTTGTTTGAAAGGTGGTTAACGCTATCCGCCAAATAAATCACTATCCGGCAGGTAATATCCACCGGATGGTGATTTATCCTGTGGATAGCATTATCCAGCCTTTGAGCAGCTAGGGCCTGGGGTTCAGTCCTGGCTGGCATGCTAATGCTGTGCTGTTCTTAGGCAAGGTAATCTTGAAATGCCTGTCTCTAAGTAAAAGCAAAACTGGAAATAAGTCTACAGAATAGTTGATTTAAGTATCACTGTCTTACAATAAATTTGTATTGAGAAGTTTACAGGTGGTCAGTTGGTCAGTCAGTTGCTCGGTCAGTCAGTAAGAAAATAACTTGTAATGTTTACATGTATTTTGACGCTTGTGAGGTTATTATTTACACAAAATTCTTTTCCTCAGGGAATCCTGTTGATAATAAGAAACAAGGGTATGTTACTTACAAAGTTTTTTATAAGTTGTATATCTCATATATAATTTTCTGAAATAATATTAAAAGAGCAGTCAACATTCCATTATCAGTGAATAAGAAAACAACGAGAACCAATCAGATTCACAGATTTCCAATATAACATGGCTGAGTGGCTACTAAACGTTGTTAGGATAAATGTACTAGCATTCTATCACAAATGCCATTCTCTGATTGGCTATGCTACTCGCTATCTATTCTGTTATAGATAGTGAGTAGCATAGCAGTGTGCATTTGTTAACAAAATGATGGCTGCTTGTTGGCGTTTTCGAAGTGTCTGTGAATTAGATAAAGTTTTTAACGACTAGTAGATTTATACTAAAACAATTGGATTATTCTCTCTCGATTTCTATGCGTGATAGTTGACTTCGGCAGTGCCCTCGTCAACTATCATGATTGTATCACGCGATAGAAATCTTGAGCTCATAATCTAATTTTTAAATAGTAAACAATTAGAGAACTAATCAGATTCACAGATTTCCATTAAAACACAGCTGAATGACTACTAAAACGTTTTTTGAAACACAGAGAATGTAGTCCATTTCTGAAATAGCAGCACCATAGGCCTTTGATGTGTATAAAGGGCTACCTCCATACTGGCCTCTGCACATATTGATCTTAGTGATTTTTGATCCTACAACCAGAAGCATTAATTTTATTTGTATTTACCCTCTTCCCCTCTAAACTTTTATGTAGCATGAACAAGGTTATGTTTCTAAGCAGATTTGATCTGATCCTTCAGTACAGCTTTTTTCACTCACTGTGTATTATATTGTTTCGTTTTTAGATCTCAATTTAGCCCGGAAATTCAGAAAAGGAACTTGTCAAAAGCAGAGACACAGATGTCTTTGCTGGATTTTCTCAATGATGAGTAAGTTATTTATGTTTCAAATTTTCAATCTGACAAGTTGCTATTTAGTTATTTATGTTAGCTGAAAGATAGAAATCAAAGACAATTTTTGCATTCGCTCCATTCATTTACTTACTTATTTATTCCTCTTCGTTCCTAATGGAACATAGGTCCTCAACATGTATTAATTTTAAACCATTCTTATCAGTAGATCAACAATCTTTGCATTTCAAAGCAAAATAAATGTAATTTGTATAAAGATATTCTAGGTAATGTTTACATCAATAATATATTGAACTACAAAATTATTTTGCACTTGAAAGAGTTAAATTAATCATACTGTGACTACCACCCATACTCTCACATATGATAACCTAGAAAATACATTTAACATTTGTTTGAGATTTAATTCTTCAGTTAAATGGCATATTTAAATCATCAAGAGATTGTGTAAAGGTTATGTTGAATAAGACGTTTAATGTCAACTGGCGTCCTGAAAATTCTTCAAATTAAGCGAGCACCTTCTCCTAAGAATTTTATTCACAAATTTCAGGAATAATCATAAACTATAATTTACAATAAATGAAAATAATTAAGGCATTCCAGAATCTTTGATAAAATAACCTGCATGCTGTCTTGCTTTACCACTCTTCTCTTGTTCAGTCCAAAAAGGCGTCAACTTCAATTAAATGCTAAAGCAGCAAAGAAGTGGCATTCCCTGCATGCTTTAGCTACTATAAGGTAACGTATAACAATATGTCACAGAGCAGTTTTCAGATGGTGTTTTGCGCTGAATATTACCATCAGTGCTAAGCTAAGATATAGGCCAATCTTTGGTGATGTCAGAGTTTACATTTTGCCACATTAGCATAAGACTTTGGTCAGAGAGGACACCGTATTATCTATATGCGAACTGCCGCCAAACCTGTGAATAGTATGTCAAGCCTTACCTAGTTTCTAGGCCTATATGTTTTGCCTTGGTCAATCGTTTTCAGGTCACGTGGTCCGAGGCAAAAGGTGTGCTCCCGGCTCTTCGTCTCGGATACGTCACCGAAATCAATTGACCGTGAAGGTCTGGGAAAAACCGTACAGGTACTAGGCAATGTGAAGCTAACTAATCGGCAAGATTTTTAACTCCTTGTTTGCTATGTGGAAGAAGACTTGTGCTTTAAAAACTGAAACAAACAAAAATGCTATCGAGCCCATACATGCTTTGTATAATTTCAAGTTTTTGAGCCCATGTCACACAATATTTATTTTATACATAAGGCTCAAATTTGAAGAGCAAATTAATCGTGACCTAAACGCCCTGCTATTGTGCTAATGAGGCAAATATTATAAATTCACATTCGAAAAAATTCACCCTCGACACCAGTTCACTATGTGTAGCTGCAGTGACTGGCTTTGTGGGAAAATTTGGAGTGAAGATTTTTTGTCAATCATTTGGAAACTGCTCTTGGTAAATTGAAAGCCATCAATGAAGTTTAAACATTTAAATTAAATTTTACTTTATTTAACCTTTGTCTTGAAATCAGAATTAAAGGATTAAAATCAATTAACTTTTCAAACAACACTCCGCATACTCATACGCGAGATAAAGAGTGGAAGGGTGGGAAGATGAGAGGCCCTGGGAACGAAGGTTGATCGAACTCACTGATGGTGATTGGTTCATTTTACATTACTACGCCACATGATTGGCTTAAAAAAACTCGCGCCACTTTTTCATCCAATCAGAAGTAAAACCAAAACTAAAACCAATCGTGACCCGCTCGCACACGTTTTCCCGCTCTTCTTCGCGTCAGCTACACGTATTTGCGATTCGAGTTTTGATTGGTTCACTGTGTTGTCTGTGTCCTTTGTGATTGGTTATTCATATTGGTGATTACTTTGGTTTCGGTTTAAAACACTCAATTGAAAACTGCCCTAATTGCTGAATTGTAATAAGGATAACACTTTTAAATGATTTGAATACGTGTCAAATTTTACCCTTACAGCTAAGAGTGTTTTTTTTAGCAGGAGAAAGCAAGTAACACAGGAAATAATATTTCATCAGTGTCTGATTAATTATTGCCTTTGGCTTTGCAATGTATTCAGATCAGAAAATCAGATCAAATAGAGAGAAAATGCCACAAGCCCTAAGAGAACGGTTTCTTTTCCCATAAAAGCCCGGAATAATGTTGGTAAACGTTTTTTTATAAATGAAGGTAAAATCTTAATTTAGATTATAGTTATTTTCTACTTGAGAGCCTCTTCATCAGTGAAGACTAACTGTTATCTATTCTAAATTACCAAAAACACTTGTTCTAGCTACGTTGGCTCGGATGAAATGACGTGTATTAACTTACTGTTAAGGCTTACCTATATCTCGCGTTGCCGTTGCAACAAACTTTAATGCTGGAACAAAACATTTTCATGAAAAAACGAGAAAAAAGGGGGTTTGTTGTTAAGACAGCAGTTCTCTTTTTATCAGGGAATCACAAGATAAAGCTCAAAACAGGTTGTCACTGGAAGAGTTCCTGGGCGAAAAGTAAGTGCGCTGAAGTTTTGATTTTCACAAAAGAGAACTTCTCATTGATTAAGTGTGTTTCCTTGAAATCTCATATCCTGGTCACACTACTCAATTCAACCTCTTTAGGTTAACCTGGTTTAAACTTGAAAAACAGCCAATGATAACAAATTTGCACCCTGAGTTTTCGACACGGTTTAACTGAATCAGTCTCTCTTGTACTGTTACAGTACTGTTAGATGACCCTGTTAGCTTAACATGTTTAAACCTGAGTGTAAACGGAGTACATGCATGGTAAACCAAGCTGTTTAAAGATACACATTAAGGGACATAAAGCGGGGATATGGTACAGCGACAGTTTTCCTCGTGTGGCATGCTTGTTTTCTTTGCGAAAAATGAAATTCAGCTGGTTTCAATTCGTGCGTCATGAAGCAGGGACAAAGTTACCTCCATTTTCAATGTCGCATTGCTTTACATCGACATCTACATTTACATAGAAATGAACCAATAACCACTTGGTGTGCACCAGCTGGCGTACTGTACTTGCCTACTGTCCCTGTTTATTGTACGCGTACACACAACGATGCTTGTCCCCGCTTCACGTTCCCTTAACATGTCTTTAAGTGTGTGCCGACCTTAAATTAACCAAGGGCCTATGTTTTTATCTTTTTCAACGAAGCTAAAGACCGCGCTATTCCGAAAGTAACTCAAGGATTGACCAAACAAAAGTCGGGTTTTGATTAACCTGAACGTAACGATCTTCTCTGGAAGTTCCAGACTGCCCTACAATCAATTGCTTGTAAAGTCTCTAACCACCCGGATGAATAATAATAATAATATACCATAATGACACCGCTATGAATATTAACATAGGATGAAATCTACATTAAAGTATTTACAACTTTAATATATTCATCCACTCACATCCACTCTGAAGGTGCGATCCCAGGGGTCTCCAAAACTCGAAAGTAACAACCTCGCTTCTTTCGAAATTCCACTTTTACAGCATATTTTTTGTCTCTCGCACTGATTTCAGGGAAATGAACAGTTTACTTTTCCATCTTTTGTAGAAATGTTTGTAATGTCATGTTGCTTGTATTGCAGTGGTCCCGACTTGAGTGCTGAAGATTCAGAAGAAGCCGAAAAGGTAGGAAATATCGAGATTTAGTTCATACCGATACGGTAGTTAATTAATGCACTTGCAATATCACAAGCTGGTTGAACCGTCGGTGTTCTTGGAGATGTTCACCAAAATTTCTGCTAAGAGACAAAAAAAATGGGCACCTGTTAATGTAAGCAAACGGTAAACGTTGGTCCAGTTTGTTTTAAGAAAAAATTCTGCATTTATGAATCTTCTAGTTGAGAAGAGGGTGATAACTATTTCCAGTGTTTGATCGTTCATTGCATCCAATACTACATCATGAAATGGCTTCATTTTCGCAACCGAATTTTAAATTTGATTTTTTTTACTGTCAGGTATAGGTATTTTATATAATTAAAAATTGTTTTAGCCAACATATTTTTGACGATCATGTTGCGTTGCGTTGCGTTTGCTAAACTGCCTCGAGTGAATTGATTGAGTCGTAACATTGAGGATTGTGAACGAAAACCTGGTGTGAAAACAAATCAGTGTAATCTTTTAAACTGTACGTTCATTTGGTATTTTGCCCGGTTTTGACGTTTGCAATTGGAAATTTGAACAGTTTTCTTCCATTTTGTACTGGAGGGCTTTTACGATTATAATGGTTAAGAAATAACTTTCTCCATTTCTTTACAGTGTGTAGCTTTGCTTTTCCTGTGACATTATCAATAAATACCGTTTCCTAATCCTATCTTGACTTGAATTTCCGCAGCCACAACCTGAATCTGGAAAAGGCATTCGCCGCTTTAGCATGCTGTTTGGAAACAAGTCATCATCCAAGGTACAAGATTTGTTTGTTTTGTGGTGAAGAAATGTGTCCCCCCTTCCCCTCCCGGAAGGAAATATCCTCCGTAATCAGTTTTGGTGGGGGTGTGCGTGTGTTTCTTGAAACAAAACCCTTACCCTTTTTCAGACCAAAATATGTCATTTTTGATACTCTATATCAGGCCTGACCCAAGCACACTCCTCTATTTCAGGCGTGACCCAAAAATAATACGTTATTTGATATCTCTTAAATTAGTGCACATCACTCATACATAGCCAAGAACCACACCCCTTTGGCGCTCCCAACCTGCTCATTTAAATTCTGCCGCGTTATTAATGTAAACAGTCACTGGGTAATGTAAATAGTCACGTGGTTGGTTTATGAGCAGCAAGGGCTCTTAACATATCATTATTTACTTTGGTGATGTTATGTTCTTCGTTATACAATCAAGCGATGCTAAATATCCCTTGTATTTTTCTCAGCAATTAAAGCGAGAACTTCCAAAGCTGCAGAAGGGAAGTAATAGAAGTAGTTTACGAAAAGACAAGAGCTTCGGTAAGTTTACTCCAGACTCTGTGACTCAAATTTCTTTAATTTCTTTTCTTCTCTTATTCTCTCTTTTAAACTACATAATACTGTAAATTCTAAAAGTAACTAAAAGTAACTAATGTAAATAGTTTGCCCAGAATAGCTTTGCTACCAAGGCTTGTAATTCAATTGTGCATTAATAAAGTTACTGTTACTGTTACTGATCCTAATGGAAGTTGTTGACTAATGCAGTAGCTTATGACCTGTGCAGGGCCACTGTGTTTGTTAGAAAAAAAAAAGGTCTGGCAATTTCGTAAAACCATTGGGAATATTAATTGCTGTAAAGTAAGGCTTCAAAGACATTGGTATATGCATGTGTAATGGCGGTCGTCATCGATTTTGGAAACAGATTCATTGTTAGATGTCATGTGGCCTCGAAGTAGCCAATGATATTGCGCGCTGTTGGGGAATTTTCTCCAATAAACAAGCCAATTTATACTTTTACACGGTTATAAACATCTGTAATTTGTTCAATACAGCAGCACGTAACAAGGATAATGAAGACAGTAAAAAGGAGACAAATGATGGCAAAGAACAGCATAAGACTGCGCTAGGAAGGAGAGCTTCAGGTGTGACCGCTAAAATGTCTAAACCTGGAGAGCAGGTAAGAAACTGCATATACGTTTAATAGTTATTAGCAGAATTAAGGAGGGGCAAAGGAAGGGGGAGGGTCTCTTCACGACATCAAGAAACTTGATTTCGTGTTTCACGAGCTAAATACACATTCTCGACACCTGTTTGTCAGCAGTGTATCTAGACCTATCTATCCGGCCAGCCCCGGACACATTTCGGGCTAGCAAAGCCATTTTTAGCTCATCTGTTTCTGAAAACGGAGAAGTGTATACGTCTGAAACTTATTGCATGAACGGAACCTCTGTTCACATTCAGAATACGTGAATAAAACAAATCTGTAATCATAAGGTTTGAGATTTTGCTATGGTTTTCAGGTTGCGAAAAATTTCGGGAACCTTCGAGAAACGGGCCCCAGGAGAGCTGAATTAGATCTTGGTCACTTCAGAGGGATGTAAATGTTTAATATTATTATACACAAAAGAACGTATATACCTGCTTACAATGAAGATTTTGTTACTACCCAAGATTTTAGTTGACACTGAAACATTTTCTGGGTAGAATAAATTTCATTTCGTTTCAGGTGCCGATGCTTCCCAACCCTGGCTTGTTAACACGGAGTGGTCGAGGCGGCACTGTTTCTTCAAGATCTAGCCTTCATACCAAGCCAGCCTCTCCCCTGCCTTTTAGAAGGTAAACCCTGAATTAAGTACGTTTGTGTACTTTCGAATTTAATGTTGGTAAGTCGTAATCTTCCATTGATAATTAATGGCAACTGTTGTATTATTTCTAAAGCAGGAGCTTCACAATGGACGAAGAGAACAAAGATAAGGACAAGGGGAAGGACAAACCTAGGTAATCTTACTTCATGATTAGAGGGGAGAGGCGAGCAGGAATGGCGTAGTGGCGAGAGCGTTCGCCTGCCAGCAATTTGGCCTGGATTCGATTCCGGTTCGGTGCCATATGTGGGTTGAGTTTTTCGTTGGTTTTCGCCATTCTCCGAGGTTTTTCTCTGGGTACTGCAGTTTTCCTCCCTGCACAAAAACACTTCAAAGTCCAATTCGACGATGTTAGAAGAACCGCACGAAAACCAGCTAGGGCTCATGTGGCTTCTCCTCTAAATATTGCATTTTTTTTTTTTTTATTTGCTTATTTATGATTAATTACCCAAGAAAACCTATAGCTACCCAAAGTGAAAAAAAACAATTAAATAACCAAGGATGACTAACAATATCTTAGTCTGTAATTGAAATACTTGAAAAATGTAGGCTATTCTTTTTAAAACAGGTGCCATCCACATTATCTGTTACAGAACTCCTTTGATGCTATTTCCAATGTTATTCTTATGGTCGTACAGTGAGCTCTTTGGAAGGTGGACACCAGCTCTAGCTGGCCACCTTAGATAGGTGTCCGCGTTAAAGTCAGTCTAATTAAGACAAACAAGTGGAGTGTGGCCAGTAATAGCTAACCAACCATGTCTGCCTTTTTTCCCAGTACTGCTGTGTCGCCAGATGTGTCTGGAGATGATGAAGATGAGGATGAAGGAGGTGGGTGTCCCGTCAATCAAACAGCATCGATGGTTATGTATACTTTTTTCAGCACAAGAATCTCTTTGTTTCAGGACTCGTCCACACTACGCCGACGAAATTTGAAAACTGCGCAGTTTTCACTCTGAAAACGCATCAAACATTTTCCAGCTTTTTCTGTCCACACTACGCCGGCGAAATTTGAAAACGGCGTTTTCACTCCGAAAACGTAGCAAATGTTTTCCGTCAACACTACGCCGGATAAATTTAAAAGGACAACAATCAGCGTTCATTTTGGACTTTTGTTTGACGAAAAGTCGGTCAGGGAAATCACATTCTCATCGTGAGGTTATCTCTTCGAAAAGCGCCGTTTTTAAAATGTTTCCGCAAAGCTGGTGTTTTCAAATTCCTCCGGTTTGAACAGCGTTTTCAAAAAGCTCCGTTTTCGGTTCGGATTAGTTTGGACGGTAGGCCTAACCGTAGATTTAAACTGCGTTTTCAAATAGCTCCGGCGTAGTATGGACTGGCCCTCAATATCGTGTGAAACTGCTCGTCTGAGGAAAGGGAGCGGCCAGCATCAGACGGGCGAAAGGAATCCAGGGAAACCGCAGAAGCGCGAGCGACAGCCATTTGTCCTGTTCATCTAGACCTCTATTCGTTTTTCTGTAACTCTACTCTAGCACGAAAAAACCCTCTACATATATTCTTCATCTATATTTAGAAACAATGCTTTGGTCATTTTGACCGTTGTGTACAAAATTAGCTTGTTTTGCGTTTCAATTTCGCTGACGTTAGGAAATTGTAATTCCATTTACATTTAGTTTGAATGTACTGGGAAACTGAATTAAGCCAAACGTGATGCTTATAAGCGTTACACTGATACATTGCCGCTTTAATGATTCTCTGCTGTTTTCCTTTCTTTCCAGAAATGAACGATGAGGTGAGCATAATCGATTATCACTTTAAGATCAGAATAACCGTTAAATTTTCATCACTTTACGTCTCATTACACATTAGTGAACACACACAAGTCGAGCCATTCAACCATTGCAGTTTACTGATTTAGTTCCGTACCTTTCTAGTCATAGTATTTCTCAGTTATTTCTTAGTCTATCGTCTCACTTGCTTTATGTCTTTATCCAGTTTCAAGGTGATCCTGACCTTGATATCAAAGATGAACCAGAAGCGTGGAGCGTTACAGTCGAAAAGAAGGTGGACATCAACAACTTTCGTTCATGTGATTAGTTGTAGTTTTAGTTGTTGTTGCTCTTCTCTTACTGTCCCCTGCACTCTTTTAAGCTTCTACCAGTAAACTCAAAGAGAAACGAAATTTAATCTACGAGAACTTTTAGGAGGTAGCGTGGCCGAGTGGGTAGAGCGCCGGACTTGAAATGCGGAGGTTGCGGGTTCAAGTCTCGCTCTGAGCGCTTAGCTGGAGTTGTTTCTCGGTAGACCCTAGTTCAACTCCTCAGTCATACTTGTAAATAGCCAACTGGTCTGCCTTCTGCCAGTTGGGATTTTTAAGCCTATTATGTTTAGTTGATATATTTGTTTCTTTCAGTTTAAGTGGCATGCCTGTGAACTACCTTGGTGTTCCTTAGCGCATTGACCACTTATATGAACAACAACGTTTGAACATTATTTTGATAGGAATAGGAACGCAAGCAACACTTAGTCTTACTTTCCCCGCCAATCTTTCATTGTAGATTCTCAAAAAGATGACAGCAAAGGACATCAAGAGACAAGATGTCATTCACGGTGAGACTTAAAACATATTGTACTTACACTTTGAGAAATCATTGCTCCATCGCTGGTGAGTTCTAGTGTTGCTATCGTGTAGGACATGCTTTACAATTTCGTTTTGTTTTTTCGTTTCCTATCAGAACTGATTCAGACTGAAGTCCATCACGTGAGGACTCTAAAAATCATGCAAAAGGTTGGAAGGCGTTTGTTCATTGCCATCATGTCATTAACCCTTTCATTATGTTTAGTGAACACTGTCATGGCAAACAGTGAGAAGGTCATGACAAAGTCTTCATCGTAGCCGTTATTGGAAAGGCAGGCAACACTTAGTAAGAATAAACGTTACCTGACAAACCAAATATTATCGTCGTTCGTGTTTAATGTTTGACTTGAGGAGGTTTATCTTTTAAAACAATCAAGTCAAGTCAAGTCATGTAAAGTCGTCTTCGTAGCCGTTATTGGAAAGTCACGCAGCACTTAGTAGGAAAAAGTGTTGCGTGACAGCCCAAACATTATCTTTGTTTGTGTTAATGTTTGACTTAAGGAGGTTTATTAGTCAAAATAATCACTCTTGCTTAGGAGGCAATTATATAACGCCGATTCTCTTTCTTGTTTGAGCTTTAGTTCAGTCATATTAGTCGTAGTATTAATAAAGTTATTATTATTATATTATATCATTTTATTATTAGTAGTATTGAGAATTAGAACATTCAGATTTCTTCCTCACTAAGATCCTGTCCATTTGCAGATATTTTACAAGGGGATGTTGAATTACTTAGCGCAGGAAACTGTAGATCAGATATTACCGAGACTTAATGATCTGCTTCAAATTAATGGTGAGAAAACAACATTTTTCGTCGATTTCATTTTTAATAAGAGACTGCAATTAATCTTGGGCCTCAGATTCATGGAGTCTTTCTCGTTGAGGAAGGAAGTTTTCTTGATTGAGCTGAAGAAATTTCGACACTGACTAGATTCACTCTTGATGGATCCACAACCTGATAATTCTGTCAAGGAAAATCCGGTAAAAAACATGGAAAGGGCAAGGATTTTTGATGATGATATTTCGACTAACACAGTGCTTCATATCACTCGGTTAAGAGCTATTGTGATGTTATATCGTAATTGTCTTTGCTTGTCTTCCCTGTGGCTTGATGATACGTAAAGAACCCTGTTAAATTTGTGTTGTGTTTCATTTCTCAGGGGATTTCTTAGACCGTCTGAAAGCAAGCGAAGGGGAGGACACTGTAGTGAACAGTGTTGGAGATGTACTGGAACAACAGGTTAGGAATGCTAAAACTGAGATCGAATTTAATCTGTAGATAACAACAAGTGAAAAAATAAGCAACGTTAGTTTGTTAATTGCGTTTTTTCCAATTCACATTTCAGTTCAGTGGAGAAAACAGTGACAAGATGAAGAGTGCGTATGGCGAGTTTTGTAGCAATCACATGGACGGTGTGGAACTTTACAAGGTAACAAGTTACAGTAGCTCGTTGCTTTCAGGAGGCTCTGTTTGCTTGATATGTTTGTCTTGTCCGCTCTAAGCTTCCATCACAGGTCATGTCCGTTGTTTTTTCTGCTTTGAGGTGTGGAAAGGGTCCGGTGCCTTGACTGTTTAGGCAAAGTTGCAATCTTACGTAGCAATATAACCCAATTTCTTTACAAATTTGTTAGATACACAGTTCTTTTAATTTCTTTCAATCACCACGGCGTATAAAATGGCTTCAGTAGTCACTTGATATAAACTCTTGCCCCTTCCTCGATTAGTTCTGGAACTAGTTGCAGGGGCAAGCAAATCTTGTAACTGTATGAGAAAAGGAAATAAAAAAAATAATAAATTTCAAGTGAAATTTCTTCTGAATTTCTTATGTTGATTTGCATAATTTATGTCTAGTGTCATTTTTTTCTGCCGTGTAGAAATTACTCAGAACGGATAAGAAGTTTGCAGACTTTATTAAGGTATGTATACGAAGTAGTTCAAGGAAATAGTGTAGGTGTATTCTCAGTTTTATATTTTGAATTTGAGAGCGTGGTTAATCGTGTGCCATGGTGCCAAGGCATCAATTTTTATAGTGGGAGAAGAGGCAGAGTCGTGATAGAAAACATTTTGCGTCATTAAGACCCACTTGCTTTGTTTCATTTTGCGATACCAGACAGAAAGGTGACGAAAACGAAGGGAGGACATTTTTTGATGTAGAATGAAATTCTCTCGACTAGTGCTAATCAGTAAAGGGAATTAATATTTAGTATCTAAGGAGATATTAAGACATGATATACGATTTTTCACATATTCAATTGTATTCGTTAAGGAGATACTGTTGGTTTTGTGTTAGGCATATATGTACTTGAGGAACACTTAAAGTGGTAGCCACCTTTTCCTGGACGACATAAAACGTCTCGTTTTCAGGCTGACAAAACACACTGTTTTTACAATTTCTTCCACTATTGTTTCACCTAGAAATGTAACATGAACAAGTTCTGTCGACGACTGTCCATCCCAGAGTGCATTACGCTTGTCACCCAGAGGCTCACCAAGTATCCAATACTGATTGAAGCTATCGTCAAAACTACCAGAGGTACGTCATAACATCCGGGATAGAGTAGAGGTGTTTAAAACACGAAATGACGAAATGGCACTTAACAATGTGGGATAAGGATGAGTCATAACCCATACAACAATTGAGAGCTAACCACCTTCAAGTCAGTGATATTTAGGCTAACTTGAGCGCTATTTAGGCTAACCGTAATGACATTTAAGCTCACTGTGGTGACATTTCGCAATTTCGTGTTCTAAACAGGCCTGGATAGAGTAAATGTATCAGTGCAATGTTATCACTGGAGAAGTGACTTTTTTGGTTATTCTTTATGAGGGGAAATCTCGGGTGCCACACGATTTGTTTGTAATAGACAAATCTGTTTTATCGCATTGCACCGAATGCCTTTTCTTGTTACCACTGTGATAAACTGGACTGTAATCGTGGTGATCCAAAACTAATCTCTTACTAACCGAGCGCGAGGGCCGTACTGGAGAATATTGACCCAAAGACGTGGCAGTACAGACCGAGCGCAGCGAGGTCCGCTTAAAAACGACCGTGGGCCAATATTCCTAAGTACGGCTGGAACAAGATAGGTTAGTAAGTAGTTTATTACATGACATTCGAAAAGAAACAAAATTACGGCTTATGATGGAACGGTCCGTATGTCAAAGCCCGACCAAGAAAGAACCAATCAGAACGCTCGGATTTACTTCAAGACCGGCTTGCTATTATAATACTACATGTTATACATGTGTTTTGGGGCTTCCCACCCACTCAGAATAAATTTTCTTTCCAACTTGGTATTAAATGGTTTGAACTTTGCAGAGTCCAAACCGGATTTCAGCTCACTGAAGAAGTCCATAACCCTTGTCAAGGTAAGGAAGGTTTTGTGATTTACCAGCCAACTGGGAACAAGTGCTGGAAGTTGATCGGTTTCGTTTTGTTGTTGACAGGAAATATTACAAAGTGTCGATCAGACGATAAAAGATAACGAAAAACAGAAGGTACGTAAAAAGCAGTTTGTTTGTCCGTATAATATCAAATTAATTGTCAATTAGACAATCGAGGAGAAATATTTGTCTTGACAAACCAACAGTTTCTTGGAACTAACGTTAAACAAACATATTTAATAATTAAAGAGAATTGATATCGAAAGGACTGATAGAGTTAATTTTTTTTCCCTAAAAAGCTGTTTAATAATAGTTATTTTATGAGTAATCAACTCAAACTGGTTGGATAATAGTGTGAATCCGCAGCCTATATTTGTCTTTTGCGGTAAAAGCTGGAGGGCGTTGTCCTTCAAATAGAGCAAGGCCTGAATGTTTAATGTCAGTTCAGGAGAGTTCTTTGAGCGTTCTGTGGATTTTTCAGCGTGTCATAGCTCACTTCCCGGGCTGACCTGCAATAGAAGCATTATAAAATGAAGATGTAGCTCCATGTTGAACATGACTGAAAATCGACAAAAGTCTGACACAACACATCTTCTTTTACAGCAACTACAAGATATGAAAATGAAGTTGGATTTGAAAGGAACTGTGACATACAAGAACGGAAAAGTGAAGGTAAACAAAGATAAGCCAATCATTAGGTCATATTTGTAGTCTGAGGATCGGACTGGAACTTGAATGTTGGTCACAAGGGTTGGAAAACTTCATTCTGTACACATTTTGCCCTCCCCACCCCTGTGCAATGTTGACAAATCACTTTCATCTAACACAAGTTTGTATTTTACCATTTTCCAACATTGGAAAGGGGGACAGGGGGTTGCTAAAACTTTTTCTGTAGGAATTACGATCATGATTTCATGTTTTGCGCAATTTCCAACACAATAGACCAATTTCGATATATTAAAATTCAGCCTGAAACAATTGACCGCAGCACGAGGCTCTAGGGGAATAAACCCCACAAATTCTGTAGTTATTCCCCAGAGCCTCGTACTGGGGTCTATTGTTTTAGGCTGAAATTTAATATCTCGAAATTGGTCTATTGTGTTGAAAAATACGCAAAAACAGAAAATCATGATCGTAAAGGGAGACTTCTGGTACAAAGGGAACTATAAGCTCCATTTTAAGAACATCGTTTTTGTTTTCGTAGAACATCGACTTCGCATCGACCACGAGTAAACTGCTCCACGATGGTGTTTTACTGTGGAAAACCAACAAGGGAAAGCTAGTTGGTAATGTAACTTATCTAACATACTTGTTCAACACCAAGGGATAGATTAAAAATCTATTTTGATCGAACGGGCTTATTGTCAAAGGAGGTACGAGAAGAATCGGAGTCTTGTTACTGAGATCGGTAGATGATTAGTCACCTGGTGGAATGGTCTGGCTATGGATTGTTTCTTTTTCATGAGGTGGAACTGACCTGGGGTCTTTTCTATTCAAACAAAACCCGGTACTTTCGAGCACAAGTGGTACGGAAATTTCCTCGACAAATTTCCGGAAAATCCGAAAATTGTTAAATTTCCGAAAAGTGAGCCATTCAACCAAAAATTCCGGAAATTCTGGGACGAAAATCAAATGGAACAGAAATAACCGGTAAGACATTTTCGGAAATATGTGTTTAGCCCGCGAGGTTGTTCTCTTTTCCGGAAATGTTGCATTCGCCGCCACTAGAAATTTCCGAAATGCAAACCGAAATTTTGGCTCGAATGGAGAGTGCCCATAGTTTTGACTTATGTTGATCAATTTCAAATTGCAGAGACCCGAGTGTTGATTATGGAAGACATGCTGGTTTTCCTTCAGGAAAAAGACCAGAAGTACAGTTTGCTTTCATTAGATCAGAAGGTTAGAGAATTTTCCTTATGCGTCAATCGGGTCTTTTTTCAGGGGACTGTTAATTGATCTAAGCTTGACATATACTCTTCATCTATAGGCTCCTATACTCAGGCTTAAAAAGGTGATTGTGCGAGCTGTTGCTACCGACCCGAAGGCCATCTTTCTTGTCAGCACTAGTAGTCAAGGACCAGACATCTACGAGATCGTCTTTGATTCACCCGACGAAATGAAACGGTGAGTGGATTTCCTTGTAGACATGAAACCTCTGTGATACAGAGAAACCTCGCCAATGATAGGTTCGACGACTCTGTTTCTTTGTTTTATGGTACGGGGTTGTAATACATGTGTAGCCTGTGAACAGGCTGTCTAGTCGAGGATGGGGCGAAGACAAAGCGGGAAGAAATAGGATAGAAGAGACGGGAGGAGAGAGGAGGAGAGAGGGGAGGAGAGAGAGAGGAGGGGAGAGAGAGGAGGGGAGAGAGGAAGGGAGAGTGAGGAGGGGAGAGAGGAGGGGAGAGAGAGGAGGGGAGAGAGAGGAGGGGAGAGAGAGGAGGGGAGAGAGAGGAGGGGAGAGAGAGGAGGGGAGAGAGGAAGGGAGAGTGAGGAGGGGAGAGAGGAGGGGAGAGAGAGGAGGGGAGAGAGAGGAGGGGAGAGAGAGGAGGGGAGAGAGAGGAGGGGAGAGAGGAAGGGAGAGTGAGGAGGGGAGAGAGGAGGGGAGAGAGAGGAGGGGAGAGAGAGGAGGGGAGAGAGAGGAGGGGAGAGAGAGGAGGGGAGAGAGGAAGGGAGAGTGAGGAGGGGAGAGAGGAGGGGAGAGAGAGGAGGGGAGAGAGAGGAGGGGAGAGAGAGGAGGGGAGAGAGAGGAGGGGAGAGAGGAAGGGAGAGTGAGGAGGGGAGAGAGGAGGGGAGAGAGAGGAGGGGAGAGAGAGGAGGGGAGAGAGAGGAGGGGAGAGAGAGGAGGGGAGAGAGGAAGGGAGAGTGAGGAGGGGAGAGAGGAGGGGAGAGAGAGGAGGGGAGAGAGAGGAGGGGAGAGAGAGGAGGGGAGAGAGAGGAGGGGAGAGAGGAAGGGAGAGTGAGGAGGGGAGAGAGGAGGGGAGAGAGAGGAGGGGAGAGAGAGGAGGGGAGAGAGAGGAGGGGAGAGAGAGGAGGGGAGAGAGGAAGGGAGAGTGAGGAGGGGAGAGAGGAGGGGAGAGAGAGGAGGGGAGAGAGAGGAGGGGAGAGAGAGGAGGGGAGAGAGAGGAGGGGAGAGAGGAAGGGAGAGTGAGGAGGGGAGAGAGGAGGGGAGAGAGAGGAGGGGAGAGAGAGGAGGGGAGAGAGAGGAGGGGAGAGAGAGGAGGGGAGAGAGGAAGGGAGAGTGAGGAGGGGAGAGAGGAGGGGAGAGAGAGGAGGGGAGAGAGAGGAGGGGAGAGAGAGGAGGGGAGAGAGAGGAGGGGAGAGAGGAAGGGAGAGTGAGGAGGGGAGAGAGGAGGGGAGAGAGAGGAGGGGAGAGAGAGGAGGGGAGAGAGAGGAGGGGAGAGAGAGGAGGGGAGAGAGGAAGGGAGAGTGAGGAGGGGAGAGAGGAGGGGAGAGAGAGGAGGGGAGAGAGAGGAGGGGAGAGAGAGGAGGGGAGAGAGAGGAGGGGAGAGAGGAAGGGAGAGTGAGGAGGGGAGAGAGGAGGGGAGAGAGAGGAGGGGAGAGAGAGGAGGGGAGAGAGAGGAGGGGAGAGAGAGGAGGGGAGAGAGGAAGGGAGAGTGAGGAGGGGAGAGAGGAGGGGAGAGAGAGGAGGGGAGAGAGAGGAGGGGAGAGAGAGGAGGGGAGAGAGAGGAGGGGAGAGAGGAAGGGAGAGTGAGGAGGGGAGAGAGGAGGGGAGAGAGAGGAGGGGAGAGAGAGGAGGGGAGAGAGAGGAGGGGAGAGAGAGGAGGGGAGAGAGGAAGGGAGAGTGAGGAGGGGAGAGAGGAGGGGAGAGAGAGGAGGGGAGAGAGAGGAGGGGAGAGAGAGGAGGGGAGAGAGAGGAGGGGAGAGAGGAAGGGAGAGTGAGGAGGGGAGAGAGGAGGGGAGAGAGAGGAGGGGAGAGAGAGGAGGGGAGAGAGAGGAGGGGAGAGAGAGGAGGGGAGAGAGGAAGGGAGAGTGAGGAGGGGAGAGAGGAGGGGAGAGAGAGGAGGGGAGAGAGAGGAGGGGAGAGAGAGGAGGGGAGAGAGAGGAGGGGAGAGAGGAAGGGAGAGTGAGGAGGGGAGAGAGGAGGGGAGAGAGAGGAGGGGAGAGAGAGGAGGGGAGAGAGAGGAGGGGAGAGAGAGGAGGGGAGAGAGGAAGGGAGAGTGAGGAGGGGAGAGAGGAGGGGAGAGAGAGGAGGGGAGAGAGAGGAGGGGAGAGAGAGGAGGGGAGAGAGAGGAGGGGAGAGAGGAAGGGAGAGTGAGGAGGGGAGAGAGGAGGGGAGAGAGAGGAGGGGAGAGAGAGGAGGGGAGAGAGAGGAGGGGAGAGAGAGGAGGGGAGAGAGGAAGGGAGAGTGAGGAGGGGAGAGAGGAGGGGAGAGAGAGGAGGGGAGAGAGAGGAGGGGAGAGAGAGGAGGGGAGAGAGAGGAGGGGAGAGAGGAAGGGAGAGTGAGGAGGGGAGAGAGGAGGGGAGAGAGAGGAGGGGAGAGAGAGGAGGGGAGAGAGAGGAGGGGAGAGAGAGGAGGGGAGAGAGGAAGGGAGAGTGAGGAGGGGAGAGAGGAGGGGAGAGAGAGGAGGGGAGAGAGAGGAGGGGAGAGAGAGGAGGGGAGAGAGAGGAGGGGAGAGAGGAAGGGAGAGTGAGGAGGGGAGAGAGGAGGGGAGAGAGAGGAGGGGAGAGAGAGGAGGGGAGAGAGAGGAGGGGAGAGAGAGGAGGGGAGAGAGGAAGGGAGAGTGAGGAGGGGAGAGAGGAGGGGAGAGAGAGGAGGGGAGAGAGAGGAGGGGAGAGAGAGGAGGGGAGAGAGAGGAGGGGAGAGAGGAAGGGAGAGTGAGGAGGGGAGAGAGGAGGGGAGAGAGAGGAGGGGAGAGAGAGGAGGGGAGAGAGAGGAGGGGAGAGAGAGGAGGGGAGAGAGGAAGGGAGAGTGAGGAGGGGAGAGAGGAGGGGAGAGAGAGGAGGGGAGAGAGAGGAGGGGAGAGAGAGGAGGGGAGAGAGAGGAGGGGAGAGAGGAAGGGAGAGTGAGGAGGGGAGAGAGGAGGGGAGAGAGAGGAGGGGAGAGAGAGGAGGGGAGAGAGAGGAGGGGAGAGAGAGGAGGGGAGAGAGGAAGGGAGAGTGAGGAGGGGAGAGAGGAGGGGAGAGAGAGGAGGGGAGAGAGAGGAGGGGAGAGAGAGGAGGGGAGAGAGAGGAGGGGAGAGAGGAAGGGAGAGTGAGGAGGGGAGAGAGGAGGGGAGAGAGAGGAGGGGAGAGAGAGGAGGGGAGAGAGAGGAGGGGAGAGAGAGGAGGGGAGAGAGGAAGGGAGAGTGAGGAGGGGAGAGAGGAGGGGAGAGAGAGGAGGGGAGAGAGAGGAGGGGAGAGAGAGGAGGGGAGAGAGAGGAGGGGAGAGAGGAAGGGAGAGTGAGGAGGGGAGAGAGGAGGGGAGAGAGAGGAGGGGAGAGAGAGGAGGGGAGAGAGAGGAGGGGAGAGAGAGGAGGGGAGAGAGAGGAGGGGAGACGCTCCAACCCTACCCTATTCCCCCCTCGGCCACTTCACTCTCAGCCAGTTGTTTCTTGGCCCTTCCAGTTGGAACTGTTCATAGGCTAATGCATCCGCTATTCCAACAATCAGATAAATAATCAATCAATCAATCAACCAACATACAAAGTTTAATAAAATGAACAAACCTACTGAGTAAACAGTCTTTCTCTAAACAAGGCGCACGAATCTCTACAGAGCTGTTATCAGTATAGAGTGTTTTCACATGACGTAACGGCAGCCATGTTCCAAACCAATCCTGTTGCAGTTGAACTCTTTTCTTATTTTCAAACACTTTCGTTTGTTACGATAAATTTGAATGGCTGCTGAAGCGGAGAAAGAACTGAACTCGTTAGGACTGAGAGGCATCCGTGACATCTGTTTGCTTCAGCCTTCAAACAAACAATACTGTGGTTAACATTACTTGTGTGGTTTGCCTTTAGTTGGATGGCGATTATCCATCAAGCTGTGGCCAACGCCCCTGCGGAGGAAAGTAAGTTGTCTTCTTTGGAAATGTACAGCGACAAGCTAAGAACGCGAGGAAAAAACATGGCCACCCCGCTCTCTTTCTCGTGTAGTCTTGGTTTGTTGGTTGACAATACTTCTGTCAGTCGCAGTGCAACGATACTGCTTGTAATATATAATAAATGATGTTTGCAAGAAGGGCTGTTACGACATTGATTCAGTGCGTTTGATATTCAGCCTCCATTAAAATTATCTTCTGTCTTTTCATGCAGTCCTTCTTCATTGTTTGAGTCAGTATTGTGTTGTTGGCCACATGCAGTTAGCCCTTGCGTGCAAAATCGTTTTCAGGTTCATTAAAGTATTTATGTAAAATGAGTAGGAAATGTCATATTCACTCCAAGTGTTTTTTTTTTCCGTAGACCTGGATGATAGTCTTTTCACCACAGCTGCGGGGGAGAGAAGGAAGATTATTATCCGTAGAGCCAACGTCCTTACTGGTAAGCATTTGCCTTTGCGGCCGGCCACAAAAAAAAAAAAAAACGTCTATTTTTTTCATTTCCTGTAATCCTTAAATCGATTAATCAAAAAACAGGAAAAATCTCCAATTCACGGCAATACAGATATTCTTACTTAAGTTTACAAACGCCTGGAGGCAGGCGACCAAAACTTAACGTCTGCAGTTTGCCTTTTATCAGCGAGCAAGATGAACCAGATCCTACGTTATGAGTGGGAACCTAGGCCGGCAGGACGACAGAGAAATATTGTACTCTCTGCCAGATAACAAATCCCTTATTGACCAAACGGGAGGTTGGTGTTGTTATTTGTGTGCGGTAATAATTGAACTCGACTGCGTCTCAGGGCATAACACGGAAAGAAGGACTTCGACCAATATCCATCCATCTTGACATCAATATATTGATCGGTCAGTTTTTTGGTCAGTTATTTGGGGATGCGGAACTTTAGCTTTATTCTTTTACGATCTCTACTGAGGTCTAATTTTGAGGCCTTAGCCATGACAAGAAATTTTATCTTTTGTTACAGAGCAAATTCAAAACAAAGAGGTTGAATGCGCGGATAGAGGAAAGCACTTGGCTGAGATGCAGGTATGAGCACTCCACACTTGAAGACACGCACGCACACGCATTCACTCACGCGTTATCACGCAGATGCGTGCTCCTTGTACGCACTTGGGTCTCGAATCTAGTTCCATGGTTTATTCAACGCGGTTACTAATGTTCAATTTTGTTTTTCTTCTTTAAAGGAACTCGTCTGTCAAATTGAAGTCCTGGAAAAGGTTAGTTTTTAAAGTAACGTCACGTTTAAGTGGACTGTTCTTTTTTTCATCATTGCGTTTTTTAGTCAGTTATTTGTGTACTTACCAGTTTTGTTCGTGTTTCATTTCAGTCCAAACTGGATGTTGAACACATCAAAGAACTGTCAAAGGCTAAGTATGTTGATCAGCTAACATATTTTAAGTAACACATTTAAAAAAAAATTCTTTTTCTACCTACAAGCGATCATTTGATCAGCTCTCTCTGTGGTCTCAAGCATCTAGACTATAGTTTTAGTCAAAGTATTATGTCACTGCAATACTGCCACACCAACCAAGTCGTTTCGAATCTCGTTCCCAGAGCCCATGTGTCTTTTGGTCAGCGCCTGACCAAAAGACACGTGGGCTCTGGGAACGAGATTGCCATGTTTTAAACCAAGGCACGCATGCGCCGTGAAACCGGAACTCCTAAAATCTTGGAGTCTGGAAATTGATTTTTCCAGAGCTCCATGTCTTGGCGCTGACCAAAAGACACGTGGGCTCTGGGAACGAGATTGAGTCGTTTCATCCTGCCGGTACTCATCTTAAGTAACAAGAAAGAGAAAAGCTGAGTTGTTAAGTCACAATTGTCTAGAGTTCGCAGAAAAATACTCATTTGCGACTTCCTTGTCGTTGTTTCACTTCAGGGAGTCCTTAGTAGCCGCTATACAGCAGGTGCAATCCACACTGTCCAGCGAGGAGCCCTCGTCAGAAGAGGCCCAGAGTGATACTCAAGGAAGTTCCTCGTCCCTGGCTTTGCCCGGGGGAGGACCCAAGAGGGCCGAGACTTTCAGCGGTTTTGACACCAAACTAAAACCCGACAACATAAACCGAGCGAGCTCCATGAGAACTGAGAGACCTGGGATGGTATTTCCGTCAAGACAGCTTCCGGGTGCGGTTAGTCCCGTGGTTGGAGCGAGTCCAAAGACTAAACACAAGCGACGTTCCAGTGGGGGAGGAGGCTGGTCGTTTCTGCCCAAAAGCAGCAGTAAGGAGCATATGGAACAGACTGGATCTACAGGTATAAGAATTTGTACGAATCTTTGCTGATTGTCATTATACGTAATTGTTTAGGAAACTGATATTAAGTTTGAGTTATGTGGCTCTGGGTAAAAGCACAGTGATTGAATCGCAGCCAACAAACCAGCCATGACCAGGAAAAAGGAAAAGAAGAAAATTCTTGCTTGACTCAGATTAAGCAGGTTAAGATGTAAGAAAAGAGGGTCAGTCTGGCTGCTGATCAATAATCGCTAGTCATCATTACGCCATGGCAGGGGTAGCACTGTGTCTTATCTCCAGTAGTTGTAATTATGATGTCAATATTCCTTCAGGTGATCTGGCTTCAGACTCGGCATCCTCTTCGCCTACACAAACTCCTACACCCTCACCTCTGCCTGGACAAGAGGTGAGATTTATGTCCTGTTGTTGAAATTATTCTAATGATCCAAGTCCTGTTGTTGAATCAATGTAAGAGATTCAAACTGGTTAACTAAGAGCTAACTAAGCTACCAGCGACTTACAAAGTCATTTAAAACAAGATATATCACTGGCTGCTCCTTGTAAGTGTGAGGCGGTCTGCCATGGTTGCAGCGTTCCTTGGGATTGATCCAGAAAAAGAATAGATCACTGTGAAACGGAAATGTCCAAAATGCCCCTGACCCTAGGAACAAAGGAAGTGCAAATGAAGTAGACCGTATGTAAAATAGAGCTCGGAATTTTTGCAGATTAATCCTTTCGTGTAGGGGTCCAGCCATAATCGCCTTGGTGTTTGTTCCACACAGTGGGTATTGCAAAGGTTTATGCTTTCTAATATACAGATGCACTTCACTGAATACGCTTACGTGTTTGGTCCATATCCAAATTCCAGTAATTCCTCTGATAAACTAGTGTTTTCTTAGTTCTGATGTTGCTAGGAAACGAACGACAGTAATTTTAACAGGACTGGGCTCTCAAGTTTAGCTTGTCGCATATCTTCTGGTAGGGTCACTTTAAATGTCCCTTGATTTGACCACATCTTGTTCACGTTCGCGGATATATTTTTCAACAGGCTGAAGCCGGAACGGACAGCGATAGGTAAGCTATTAAAATATAATCATGATCAAGGTTGATGTAACCAGGATGATATGTTTCTTGGCCTTGTTTCGTTTAACGCCAATGAAGACTCTAAACCTGTAGCCTAGCTCTCTTTTCTTTTGTGGGAATGTGATATAGCAAACGACACTTGTTGTAATATAAATGTTGTTTACAAACTCTTCAGTGCTGTCAAAAGTGGTCGATTTAGGCCCGTACGAGGCGACACGTCACCGCCTCAGCAGATTAAAGCTGACCATCAGCACAGCAGGCTCAAACACAACTTGCCTCACTTGTCATCACCCCGTACTCAACGCCATGCGCGCCTGCTTCCTAAAGACGAGGAGGACAAGGAACGAGAACAAAAAGACAAGAGTCCGGGCACAGCGCAAGAAGTTATTTATTTCTGATAGGTAAGGTAGAACCAGCTTGGAATATGGCATGATTTTTTTTTATCAGAAACAGTGTTAGGTTATTCCCTTCAGTCTTGTCAATCGCCATACACCGGGGAATTGCATGGTCATCTCCAACACAGCTGAGCTATAAGCCATCGGAAAGAGGTCAACAGCCAGTTGGTAACGTGGCATTGTTCATTTACCTGTGTTTCGTAGGGAAAAAAGACACAAAAGTATTTCGAAGCATTGATAAACAGGTGTGGTGATATTCAAAGGTTGGGAGTGCGGTGGATACATTCTAACCACAACTGTAGTCGTTTATGCAAAGTAGCGTTCCTTCCTAAAATAATAGTCACAAATTTTGGAGAGAAAGCCTTTTTCATGGTTATTCTCATTTACAGTACACAGCACTTAGTTCTTCTGTTCTAATAAATTCCCTGTTTTATTTGCAGATATGGCTAAGACTAAGACGTTCTTTTTCCCGTTATGAAGATATTCGCATTCAGTAACCTAGACAGATGTAAATAGAAGCGTGCGATCGGAGACAAAATAATGTACTTAAAATGAAATTCTTTTCTATAGTGACTTGGGTAGCATGACAATTATGACAACATAGTAGATCATCATTTTTAATATAACTAAAACACCGACAGTTTGACGACAATAGCTGATTAACCGTTACTCGCTATAGAGCAATCGTAGAACACCATAGGGAAACTTGTTTGAATTAAACAGTAGATAGAAAGTGTGCAAAGATATTTAGCAAAATAGCGCATCATCTTTTTCATGCTCTTTTCAAATCTTTGTAGATTTCGTATACTTTATCCGCGCGTGAAAGAGTGAATAAATCATATTTTTGTACAATTAATTTCTTGAAGTATATTTTTCCTTTCATTTCCTTGTTGGTTTCTGGATCTTTCAGAAAGAAGACGATTGGAACTTATTTCTTTCAGATATCTTAGTTAGCTAAACATAAGTCGCACCTAGGCTCCAGGCCCACGCTGCCGGAACTTATCGTTAAGCGACTAGCACTATCCCTAATCCCCTAGATGGATGCAAGCCGTCTATCGTACGTTTAATACCCCACAACATTTCGTCAAGTTTCTTCAGCAAATTGCCGCCAGCTCTTTGTACCCCTTGGTGGAGAGAGGCGCTGTGAGGGTAAAGTGTCTTGCCTAAGAACACAACACAATGACCCGAGCCCGGGCTTGATTTTGAACCACTTGATCCGGAGTACAACACCATAGGATTTTTTCACTGACCACTTCAGTCCCAAACTCGAATCATCAGGTTTCCTTGATACTTTCAATTGTGGTTATAAACCTGGACCATGTTCAAAACCCAGACAGTTTAAGTTTTCTAACTTTTCATTGAATTTTTCGTTCTGTCTCTCTAATTTTTCTCATGGGAACAGAGTAAGTGTTTATGGACAACACCCTACATGGGGTGACAAAGTCTTTGTTTGACCGCTAATTAGCCGACCTAGCATGTGTGTACACAGCGAGGTGCTTTGGTAAACATTATGTGCGGGTTATTGCGCCGTGCTCCTTTTGAAGTTCACTTTTTTGGTGTGTCATGATTTTGGTTCTTAAGCCTCCGTTAAATTCAGCCCGAATGTAACCGAAACGGAGAGAACGGTGTTTATCCTTGGGAGCAAGGGGGGAAGGGGGGGAGGGGAGGGGATGTGTGGATACGGGTACACCTATATAATACACGATATTAACTTTGGTCAATTTGTACGACTCTGAGGTAACCTTATTCAAGCCAGAGTTAGGGTGGGGGGAAGGGGGGTTTAGCTTTGGAATAAGGCAGAAATCCATGGTCTTTTCCCTAATCGAGAAAGCCTTGCCTAATTATAAATTGTGTACTTAAGTACGTTTCAACATGTTTTAAACACCTACCCTGCCACATTTAATAAAACGCCAGAGTATTCTAGTCGGTTGTTTCAAGTACTCATTAACGACAGCAAAGGCGTCACTGATATTAATTCAGTAGTGTGACTGGAACAATATCTGGTGTTTTGTTAATGCTAAATGAGACCTCACAGGACACAGCCTAGTGGGTTCTATTTGTCACGCATCCCTTGTTAGTCAAAAAGATTCGGGTTTAGAGGGCCAAAATACAAAACTTAGTCCAAATAGCATTGTCGTTGGCTAGTCAAATCGTGACAGTTTCAGCTACCGTGATGTTGTCCCTCAAGCCGACAGTGACGTACAAGGAAAAAAGCTTCGAAAACTGTAGTACAATATCAACCACACGGGCGCGCACTCTCGATCTCCAGTCCGACTAGTGACGTCATGAAGTCTCTTCCTTGTATTTCCTGGCTTCATATTTCCTTTGCCTGAATATTCCAACCGCAAGGCTGCCTCTTTGTCTAATCCAAGTCGGTATCGTTTTACCTTTTTTCCTTTCCACACCTTTACTCATGCCCACACATTTATCAAAATTTCCTACCATCATTGCCTTTTGAAAGCGATTTTTTTTAATTTGGCCTCATTTTCTCTTGGTTGAAAATGAAGGTCGAAATCCGTGAGGTTTCGAGCCGTAGAAATTTTCACTTTTGTCCGCTGTTTTCGTTTTTTAGAATATAGCATTTGAATCTCATTTCGTATGATCAGAGTGATGTCATATACTTAGATATCATCATAACAAAAAAAGAAACTTGTAATGATGTAATTGTCAACAAATGGGAAAGAAGATGAGATTCGCCTGGCCCTAACATGACAGTGTAACTCTTGGCGTGATTTCAATCTGATAGTCACGAGGCACCAGTGGCAGACGATGGCGCTATAAGGACTCTATAAGATGGCTCCAGACAGCTCCAGAGCGAAAATCCCCAAACTGAAAAGGAAGGCATAAGTCGAAGAATCGATCACTTCTGATGACAGATTAATCCCATTTATCAGTTAACACACTGAAAAGTCTTATTTACCCTCTTGAAAAATAAAAGAAGTAACGCCGTAATACAATTAACCCGTCATTTGACATGTCAAGGAAAATAAAGAACTGTACACTGTGTTAAAGAACTGTACACTGTGTGACCAAATCACACGATTCTGCAATACAACCGTCATTTCCGCTTGTTCCATTTCCGGTCTACGAAAAGGAATACCCGCTGTTTCCGGTTGCTGGGTCGCGAATGATCGTGTCTTTTTTGAATGCTACAAGATAGAACGGTTCCTGTTGTAAGACGTCCAAGGCCAAACGATCTCTCGGACAACAAAATCAGCACTCATCTATGCATCATTAATAAGTCTTGTTTTGACGTGAATACCTGACATTTTTATAAACGGCAGTGGTCTCTTAGCGCTGACGAACAGAAGTAGAAACTGGACTGGCTTTCCTCTGGAAACAGATAAGTTCTAATTTCGTCTGAGATCGACTTTTGTTTTCGACGAAACAATAGAATCGATTGATGTTTTTGTCGTCGGCTATTCTTTGGAACGAACGACTCTAACGCTATTCAAATTAGGATATTATTCCAAACCTTTTATCGCCACAAAACAACTGAATAAATTGTAGCTAATTGTGTTGAGTCAATATACGCCAAGCTATCGCACGACTATAAATAGATTGGTTGTGCTTTTGGAGTGTTTATTAGCTGGAATTTTTGTCCTGATATTTCCTGTTGGCAATTTTCTCGAGAGAATTAACAGGGTTTGCGGTGCATGAAATTGAGCAGAAAAGAAAACATCGTGTCACCCTAGCTGTCATAAACAATATTTAATATTCTCGTCTGTGGGAATTATTTAACAGGCAAATCGGAATTGCTATTTCACATGCAACAATCGAAATGAACATCGCTGAGTGGTCGTCTTGAAAGATCAGTTCCATCGAACAGGTTTAAAACTACGATGATGGAGTAACGACGCAACAGAGCAAGGATCGCCGTAGATCTAAAGAACAAGGTATTATGGTGATTTGAACAAATTTTCAAGAGGGTTACCGGAAATCAGACAGTACCAACGATGATTTCAGCGACGCAAGAAGTCGCGGTCACTGTAACTCCTCGAAACAGGGCCAACTTTCGAAGGCTCAAAACTAACAGCATACAAAGTGTAAAGCGATGGGAAAAAGAGAACGAGCTCCTTTACGCCATGATGGAGGACGAAAGCGAGTGGTTAGCCAAGTTATTTCCCGACGTGGTTATCTCTCCGGAGTTTTTCTTCTACGCTTTAGAAGATGGATCGTTACTCTGTCGACTTGCGAACTACATACAAGAGAAAGCGGAGTTGTACTCTCGGGAGCAAAACGTTCCCGTGCCTGGGAGGAAATTTCGCTATCACACCATGAGTAAGTGTGGTAGAGAGATCAAACTATTTCGCTCCCGGGAAAATGTGCAACAGTTTCTCACATGGTGTCGAAGTCACGGTATTCCCGAAGCCATACTGTTCGAATCGAACGATGTGGTGGAGGTTGATGATTACAGAGAGGGCTGCAGAGGTGTAATCATTTGCCTAATGGAGATTGTTAGAAGGACATCAAAGTTTGATCTCGATGAGCTGCCGCAGTTAATTCAAATGGAGAAAGAAATCGAAGAGGACGAGGCACACAGTGATATGGAATTAACTAACGGACAAGGGCAAGTGTTGGACGTGGAGAAAATAAACAACATGACTGAAATTGACAACCTTGAAGTTCAGCAAACAGATCAGCCAGAAATTCAAAGCCCTAGCTCACTGGACTCAGATTCTGGGGTTGACTCCGTGTTTGATCAAGAAGAAGGGGAAAATTCGGCTTCCCGCCTTACGGAATTTTCTGTGGAAGAACCCGAGGAAATAAAGAAAACCACAGCCGTGACAAGAAAACAAACTCCACCGAAACCAAAAGATCAAAAAAGTACTCCAAAGACTCGGCCAAAGACAAAAGAACTGCCTTCTCTACTGGAGAGCACGGAACCAAAATCCGAATTAGATAAACAGGTAAGTTGTTACGCCTATTTTTCGTTAAATTTCATGTTAACAAAATTTGAAGTACTTCTAATTAACGATGCCATGGATGAAACTTCAAGAAAGTGTTTGCAGAATATTCAGCACAGTTTATTTAGTTAGGAGGGTTGAATTTCATATATACATACTACCAATTGGTGTCACAATATTGAAGAAAAATATTTTTTGAGGCAAGAACTTAAATAAAAATTTAGGAGCACAGTTTTATCAATATTACATGTTCATTCATCTGTCCACGAATTATGCAAATATTACTCAACTTATGCCGATGGATTGATAACGGGTAACAACAACATATCACCTTTCGCCTCACGTCTCGTCTTAAATG